TTGAAATCCCGTATATGTGGAGAATCTGAATTTGTATGGCATGAGCAGGTGAAAAGCTTGTGTTTTGTTTTGTCAATACCCTGCGAAAACCCTAATTTCGTGGTCGAGATTCTCCTACTCCGATCTCTTCTCCACAACGACGATGATGCATAACTCAAGCGACGATTCCGAATGGGAAGTGAGACCTGGTGGTATGCTCGTCCAACGAAGAGACGACGCTGCTTCCACCGACCAACCCCTCCAGGATCCCGACTCTGCTTCCGCCGTTTTCGCTCAGTCCATTAGGATTACTGTTTCCCATGGCTCGTCGCACCACGATCTTCACGTTTCTGCGCACTCCACTTTCGGTATAAAACGCTCTTCTTCTCATTTCTCGATCCGTTTCTGATTTTTTTCCTTATTCTCGTTACCAATCCCACCATTTCTCCGTTGTCGATTTCAGGAAATTTATGTTAATTCTGATTCATCTCCTTGAAATTCCTAACCCAAGGCTGAGAATTATACATTTTCGTTACTAGATTCACTGTAGACTTGCTATGTATCGATTCTCTTGAGCTGTGTTAATGTAGTTTAAAGATTGATATTTCTTAGGTCTGAATGTTTGATAACAGGGGATGTGAAGAAAACCCTTGTCCAGAAAACTGGATTGGAAGGTAATGAACTGAAGATTTTGTTCAGGGGAGTTGAGAAAGATGATGCTGAGCAATTGCAAGCTGCTGGTGTTAAAGATGGATCAAAGGTTGTCCTCGTTGAGGAACTTACTAAGAGAGTTGAACAAGCTGAACAAAAGCCTCCAGTGATGACCGAAGAGATGGCAAAGGCTGTTGTTGCAATTAGTGCAGTCACGGGAGAAGTCGATAAGCTCTCTGATAGGGTGAGAGTTGAGAGTTAAGGGATACATCTTTTGGTTTGTTAATGCAGGAGAGGAGAGGAAAGGAATGTGCTATAAAGCTTATTTTGTTTGTTTTGTTTTATCTTTTGAAAATTAGGCTGTTGCTTTAGAAGTTGCTGTGAATGGAGGGACGAAAGTTGCGGTGAAGGAGTTTGATATGACTGCAGAGCTTCTCATGAGGCAGTTGCTCAAATTGGATGGCATCGAGGCAGAAGGGGAAGCTAGAGTACAGCGTAAGGCAGAGGTTAGTTTTTCGTTTCATTTGTTACCTATCTTCATCTGTGTGCATATAATTAAACGTGTTTTCGAATAAGTTAGTCGATAAAAGTGGCCAGTAGAGGTGAAAAGGGATATACGAATTTTACTTATATACAATGGGTACTTGTGACTTGTGAGAGGCTTTGGGATGAGTTGCAAAGATCTAAATGTAGTAGACTCTGGTTAAAGATACATTCTGATTCCATCTATCGTTTTTGATCAGTAAATTGTAGGCTTTTGGTATAGTAGATACATTCAGATTTCCATAACATTTGGGATGTGCATGTTGGGCTCCAATGAATCACTTGAGACATTCCTTCTTCAGTGGTGAACAATGTCACCTAAATTAAGCATATATATGTATAATTGCAGGTACGTAGGATCCAAAAGTTGCAGGAGATTGTGGATAATTTGAAAGCAAGATGCTCAAATCCGTTTGTGGATCAGAGCAAAGCCGCAGCGGTAAGCACCGAGTGGGAATCGTTTGGAAATGGTGTTGGAAGCTTGAACCCTCCTCCGCCTGCTTCACCTTCTGCCAATGTAACTCAAGATTGGGAGAAATTTGATTGAGGTTGTAGCTTTTAAATATATTTGATTATTGTTACGTTGCTAAAAATTGAAAAGAAAAGTTTGCTTCTTGTTAATGCGCATCTTTTTTTAACTTTTGTTTAAATGGGAAAATGACCATATAATTATCGGCTTTTTTTTTATCCTCTAGTGTTTATATAAATCTTATATAATATATTAAGGTTATTTTTAGTTGAAGTTATGAAAGGCTGTCATATATCACCTATTTTTTTAATTTATAGTTTTTGATTTATTTTATTTT